GGAAATTCAAACAGAACCCCTTAAACCCTTTTGTAGAGGGAACAGATCCATTATCCAACAAAGAACAAGCCCGGGATCTGTCAACTCTCCTACACCTGACACCACTGCTCCAACATGCCTGCCAGTTTATTTAACATCACTGCTCCAACACCTGCCAGTAAAGGTGCAGCAGTCATAGGTGGTGTCACATATGTCCAATGTGGAAGTGACACCACCTACAACTGCTGCACCTCTCCTGCCATATGGTTTATAATGCTGCTTCTTCCGCTCCTATGCCGTATTCTATTCAATATACCTGCCAGTAAACCTACCAACACTACTCCAACACCTGCCAGTGCACCTGGCAGCACTGCTCCATCTGTCAATACTGAGTCAGAGAGAGAGAGAATTATTCTACTCTATATTAACATTCATATGTAAATAAAACTCATCTTTTATTTAAAAAAAAATATAAGATATTCTGAACACTAATGGAATTTATCTTCTCTATGAACTTAAAATGATTGCATGACCCATATTTCATTAACATCTTTCACTCTCAACACTGTTATTGTATATCTCTTGTATATATTCTCTGTGTTTAATCTAAAATATTCCTAAAACATTAAACACTATGAAGTTTTATCTTCACTGTGTACTCGCATATGTTTCACAAGATGGCCTTTTGCAGTAAAACATTTCAAACACTCTGAACATCGAAATGGTTTATCTCCTGTATGTACTCGCATATGTATCACAAGACTGCATTTTATAAGTAAAACATTTCAGACACTCTGAACATTGAAATGGTTTATCTCCTGTATGAATTCGCATATGTTTCACAAGACTGCTATTTACACTAAAACATTTCAGACATTCTGAACACTGAAATGGTTTATCTCCTGTATGAACTCGCATATGTGCCACAAGATTGCTTTTAACACTAAAACATTTTAGACACTCTGAACATCGAAATGGTTTATCTCCTGTATGTGCTCGCATATGTGTCACAAGATGGACTTTTCGGCTAAAACATTTCACACACTCTGAACAATGAAAAGGTTTATCTCCTGTATGTGCTCGCATATGTGTCACAAGATGGACTTTTTGAGTAAAACATTTCAGACATTGTGAACAATGAAATGGTTTATCTCCTGTATGTGCTCGCATATGTGTCACAAGATGACCTTTTCGGCTAAAACATTTCAAACACTCTGAACACTGAAATGGTTTATTTCCTGTATGTACTAGCATATGATTCACAAGACTGTGCTTTTCAGTAAAACATTTCAGACACTCTGAACACTGAAATGGTTTATTTCCTGTATGTACTCGCATATGTCTCCCAAGATTGTCTTTTCGGCTAAAACATTCCAAACACTCTGAACACTGAAATAGTTTATCTCCTGTATGTACTCGCATATGTTTCACAAGACTACCTTTTTGAGTAAAACACTTCAAACACTCCAAACACTTAAATGGTTTATCTCCTGTATGTACTCTCATGTGTGTCATAAGACTGCCTTTTTGACTAAAACATTTCAGACACTCTGAACACTGATATGGTTTATCTCCTCTATGTCTTTTCATATTTTTCAAAAGAAGATATTTCAGTTTAAAATATTTTAGTCATTCAACAGTAGTATGATTAATCTTCCTTATGTACTCTCATGTATTTCAAGATTTATATTTTGGTAAACTATTTTGGACACTGAACACACACAATGTTCCTCATAAATAAATTATAATATTAAGATTTGTTTTAGGCAAAACTATTTCTAATTATGAGCCCAAATAAAGTTTATTTTGTTTGTGCTAAAAGACTACCATTACTTTTTGTGTTGTGTGTAAAAAGGTATACTAGAGTATTACAAACGTGTATTCTTCTATGGAGTGCCATGTAATCTTTACATAGAATTTACAATATCGAAAAGAAAATTGTTTATTTAGTAATACCTGACCAGTTAAAAATTTATAAGAATAACAGGTGTTGCCCTTCTTGAAGTACTGAAGATATAGTGCCTGGGAATATACAACTTTGTACTGTTCCACAAAATACTTCTGCAATATTAGTTATTGTTCAAGACACTGACACTGGTGCCTCTTGAAGTACTGAAGATATAGTGTCTGGCAAGACACAACCTGGTAGTCTTCCACAAAATACTTCTGCAATAGAAACATGAATGAGCATAGTACAATATTCCACCATTACCAACACAACATACTGAATTAGAAAACAAAAGGTTTTCTCTCTATTATCACATGTTCCACCAAATAAAAGTTGTTTTTAAATGTTTAAGAACTAAAAAAAGTAAATAAGTTTTCAGGTATCATATACAGTGGTCCCCCGAGTTTCGTACAGCTCCCAACTCAAACAATTATGTAAGAGTATTATTGTAAGTGCTTGTATAAGTGTATTTTTGGGGGTCTGTGTTGCAACCAATGAATGGGTCACTATGTATATAATGTATATTACCTGTTCATATAATTTTATATTGCTTATATTTGCAATATTAGCTAAATCGTAAATATATTTCTTTATATTATTATTTGACTTAGTTATATTATTAGGTAGGACGTAACATTTATATATTATTCTGTGCTCATAGTTCGAGTGTTAAGTAGCTGACAGCATTGTCTAACTACTGTATTATCGCTTTGCTCGTTATGCTGCCGGCTTCTGTGTTGCTGGGCAGCAGCAGTACACGGAGTCACGTGATCAGGGGGGTGATCAAACCTCACCTGGAGTAGTCTGCCTGGCCTGCGCGGCCTATTGTCTGTTGGACAATGCTTCTAACAAGAGGTCCCACACCAGCTCTACCTTGTGGGCCCTTGTTGGAAGATCATCTCTGTCGCTTTCTTGTTGTTAGTTCTGTGTAACTCTGTTAACAGAACATAGCCTAGACTTAGTGATTTTCGACATTGTACTGAGGTTGCGTGTTGCATAGACACTCTGAGAAATTGAGGTCCTGAGCTGTAGCTTCTGACCTAACTTGTACTGGTATCTGTGTACTGTCACAGTTGGGGATTTTTCTAATGCTGAACTTAGATTCAGTAGTATGGGAGTTTTGTGACTTTTGTGGAGGATCTGCAGATGGTCCCTATCAGTGTCGTCATGTTATCTCCTTGTTCCTGATTCTGTGTCGCTGTTGCTTGTTATAGTGCTGTTTGGCTTATCAGTCATTTTACTGTTCAAGCAAGCTGTTCTGATTGCCAGGTTGGTCAAGAAGTTAATGTGAGGACTTTTAGTCAGTCACAGGTTAAGTCTAGTCCAGTCTTGAGACATAGTGAACTACATAGAGCACTTACACACACATACACACAAACTTACTTGTATATATTTATATTATGTTATTAAATGCTAACACTGTACCAGATGGAACTTAAAAGCCATAAAGATGTGAAAAGTGCCTTCACACAAATACTACTGTACACGAGAGAAGTGTAAGGAACTTGTGTCCTATATTATTTCAATTGAAAAATTTAATTTACTTTGATAATATATGCCTAGACAACTTAATTGTTATTAATAAACTTATTAAAATTTTAATTTCTTTAGTTAGTGGCCTACCAGTTGAAATCCTGAAGCACTATTGAATCTTCCTGAATTCTAATGGATAACTGACCAGGACACGGACTACTTGTTACAAAAAAACCCAGTAACAGGCTGGATGCTAAAGGCAGTTCTTTCTAGCATTCACTGGAGATCTCTATGCTTATTAGATATCGAAATTTTTGTAACAGTCTGAAACAGACTAACTTAATTTACATTACTCCTTTTGGGAACAAATTCGTTGGGTAATGGCACTCGAACAGCCTTCTGGGAAAGAAAGATGGCCCCAAACTTGGGTTACCACTGTAAATTTTTTTGTTTACCTGTAAAAATCTTACATATAAATCATATGTTGAATATAATAATTTTTTTTATTAATGATTGTGTAAACAATATTAATTTTCAATATATTCATAGGGAATAATTATATAATCAGACTAAAGTGCTAAACCTGAAAGGGTCATGCAAAAGTGCTGAAGGGATTGTGCTAAAGAAGGAAAATTCAGAGGCCAGAGAGCATGTAATTGTATGAAATGTACAAGAGGCAGAGTTAACAAGGGTAGTGAGGCAGAGTTAACAAGGGTAGTGAGGCAGAGATAACAAGGGTAGTGAGGTAGAGTTAACAAGGGTAGTGAGGCAGAGATAACAAGGGGAGAGAGGCAGAGTTAACAAGGGTAGTGAGCAGAGATAACAAGGTAGTGAGGTAGAGTTTTAAAAAGGTAGTGAGGCAGAGATAACAAGGTAAATAATTAACAAAAAGGGACAATACCGTGACTGGAACGATACACAAATAACCCGCACTTTAAAAAAGAGAAGCTTACGATGACGTTTCGGACCGACTTGGACCATTGACAAAGTCACACTAACAGAGGGGGAGCAGGACGGCTATATATAGGCAGGAAGAGGTGGAGTAGTAGTAGTAGTAGTAGTAGTAGTATAGCAGCAGCAGCAGCACAGCAGCAGCACAGCAGCACAGCAGCAGCAGCAGCACGCACGCAGCAGCAGCAGCAGCAGCAGCAGCAGCAGCAGCAGCAGCAGCAAGCAGCAGCCCGCAGCAGCAAAACCCGCAGCAGCAGCAGCACAGCAGCAGCAGCACAGCAGCAGCAGCACAGCAGCAGCAGCAGCAGCACAGCAGCAGCAGCACAGCAGCAGCAGCAGCAGCAGCAGCAGCACAGCATCAGCAGCAGCAGCAGCAGCACAGCAGCACACAGCAGCAGCAGCGCACAGCAGCAGCAGCAGCGACAGCAGCAGCAGCAGCAGCAGCAGCAGCAGCAGCAGCAGCAGCAGCACAGCAGCAGCAGCAGCAGCCCGCAGCAGCACAGCAGCAGCAGCACAGCAGCAGCAGCAGCACAGCAGCAGCAGCAGCAGCAGCAGCAGCAGCACAGCAGCAGCAGCAGCACAGCAGCAGCAGCAGCAGCAGCAGCAGCAGCAGCAGCAGCACAGCACAGCAGCACAGCAGCAGCAGCAAAAGCAGCAGCACAGCAGCATGCAGCAACAGCAAAAGAAAGCAGCAGCAGCAGCACAGCACTGAGCAGCACCAGCAGGCAGCAGCAGAGCAGACAGCAGGCACAGACAAAGAAAAGAAGAAGAGAAAAGAAGAAGAAGAAGAAGAAGAAAATTGGGATATAATACCGACAAGATGAAATAAACACATGCACAACACCCTGGGCATCCCCACGAGACGTGGCTGGCTGATGGGGAAACTCCACAACAAAGAAAAACAACGCTGCAACATTGTCTAAATTCATCAGTAGTTGTAGTAGTAGTAAAGAAGAAGAGGTAGTAAGTGAGTGGTAAAGTGGAAAAAAGGAATGACGAGCAGTCAAAAACAAAAACAAAGGAAGGGAGCACTGCAAGAGAATAGATCCCACAGAGGGGGAGCAAGCACACAGAGGTGCTAAAGGGAAGTGTGAATTAAATAAATGAAGAAGGAACAAAACACGAGCAGAGAGAGAAAGACAACCCAAGGAGAAAAGGAAGAGGAAAGGGGAAGAGAAGAAGAAAAAGAAAGAAAAATGAGGGTTCAGGTTAAGTCATGGGTGTTCGAAGGGGAGCATTACAATGTAGTGGAGAGGAAGGGCATCTACAGAGAGAAGCCGGCTAAGGTTCATACAAGGAAAGTTTGTATTAGAGGGATTTCAACTAGAAACCCACTGATTCGAGTTGGGAAATAGGGAAGAAGTTTTTAGCAGAAGACCAGTTAATAGGATGGCAGATCTCTGACTGACAGAAAAGAGCAAATTTTTAGGTGGCAAGCCTAACAATTTTTGTGCTCCCAAGTCTGTCAGAAAAGAGATCGACCATTTCTTCCGAGTATTGAAGAGGGCGGGAACAAAATAGAGTAACACCGGAACATCTTAAGGGAGGAGGGGATGAACGAGATTAGTACGAAATGTTACCCCGGGCAAGGTAACTTGAAGCAAAGGGAGGGAGAGTTTGTTGAGATTAGAAAGAAGGAAATGAGGGAAGGGAAAGGGGATAGAAGAGTTCCCATGAAGAAGTTTGGAGAGAAAAAATTTGCTTTAGCACTAGAGAGCAAGTCATAAATGGAAGGGTACCAAACGGAGAACAAAATTAAGAGGGGAAATTTTTCTGCTGGAAGGAACTGAGGATCACAGATGGGGAGGCATGGAGAAAAAGGAGATAAAAACACTTTTTTTGACGGGGGAAAGCATGATAGGAAAAGTATGAATGTACAGCCACTGTGCATAGTTTACGGTAAAGGGAAAAGGGAAAAAAACCGATCTGACGTGACAGGGACATAAAGGAAAAGAAGAAAGGAATTAGATTCCCTCAGCTTTAAACTAAGGAAGGGGGGGGGGCAAATTATTAAGAGCTTCAAAAAAAGGTTGGGAAGAGACGGGATCATGGGGCCACAAAGCAAAGATGTCATCCCATAGGGGAGCAGATTGAAGGTTGCCATCGAGGTAGGAAAAAACATTTGAAGTTTTCCATTAAAATTAGCAAGGACGGGAGGAGAGAGACCCAAAGCGACACCGAAGGTTTGAGAATATTTTCCCTTGGAAAAAGGAGTTAGAGTCCACAAAAGGGGTGGATCAATCAAAAAACATCAGTGGGGATAGGGAGATGAAGAAACCCTTCATGGGCCTTCTCTCTAAGGAAATAAAGGGACACACAAGAGGGACATTGTGAAGGGGACTAAAACGCAAGACAACATTTTCAGGGGGAGAGAGCAAACCCCATTCAATGAAGTTTTGGAGCGACGAGGGGGGCAGGAAAAAAGTACCAAAAAGGGAGTGGGGTTTTTTGGCCCGCCAAGAAACAAGAGAAAAAGAAAAAGAAAACCCCTAAAAGGGTATATAGGACGAAAGAATATCAGGTTTTTAGTTTTGGAAGGCCTAGAAAAAAGGGAAAGGGGGACAGATGACACGAAAAAACCCTTGAACAAAGGGCAAAGTCAGGAGGACAGAGGGCGAGAGAGCCTAGTTTTTTTTGAAAGTTCTCTTAGCGATCAAGAGGGGTTGGGAAAAGGAGGAGTTAGGGCGGTCAGAGAGCAAACACAGCTTTTCGGAGGAATCCCGCGATCAGGATAAAAACCGATTTCCTTGTCAGAAGATAGTATTACAATGTTAGGTTGGATTTAAAGAAAAAG